TCTCTCTCTCTCTCTCTCTCTCTCTCTCTCTCTCTCTCTCTCTCTCTCTCTCTTAAGAGCAGGATTTCTTCAGAGAAACGGCAAGGGAAAGCAGAATTTCGCCTACCTGTGAACAGCCCCCTCCGAACCGCACGAGTTCCCCACCGCAGTTTACTTTTCTCAATCGGACTTCGGTCATCAGCCACACCTAAGCATGAAAGTAAGTAGTACGCATTCAAATAACTCCGCGATCCAAGTGGAACACGAGTGCATGGCGTACACTGGAGCAGTTCCTCATACCGTTCCAGTTTGCCCTGTATTTTTTTCACTCGGCACCAGTGATGAAATCATCTCGTAAACAAATGCCAAACAATGAACACTTCTTCTCTTTCCTGGAAATTTTTGATTAATTGCGCGATGCATTCTTTTTGCTCTCTCCTTTTTCTTTTCTGCTCTTTTTTGTTTCGCTTTACAGCCGTGCTACCAAGAAGTGCCGATGGTGATAAATATACCAAGAAATGATGCTGATTACAGGTTGAAAGCGCGGCTCGCATTGAGGTCTACCCTCTTAGCGCGCCAGAGGATCGAGCCAAAGAGCAGCAACTTAGACAGCAGCAACAGGTCAGTACATTCTCATTTTTCAATTTGCGAGGGTTGGGAAAGGTCAAACAACAAGACATCAATTAGTACGCCATTTGTTTGCGACATATCTTGCCAATTATTCATTAATGTTTATCAGATGTACCAGGCTTAGTACAAGGAACTTGGCACCTGAAAACTTTCACAGCTGTCAGAGGCTAGGGAAAGTGCATAATGTGGGGGAGAGCGATAGGAAGAGATCAGAATCGTCTACTCAGGAAATCGAAAGTGTTCAATTCTTGGGGCAACAGTAATCTCTCGGTGACCTTAACTAATAAAGCGACACGGTTGTGTTCGCGCCAGGCTTAGCATGCAGATTACAGGGCTTGTCAACCCTCTAACACCAGCATATATTCGATTAGGATGGGTACCGAACACTTGAGCCTTGACCCTTTTTATGTAACTAGCGACCGAGGGTTCAGTGGAAATCTTCATGTAGCTGACTGCACCCCACGCTAGTCGCCAGTAGAATATGATACTGAGCCTTCGACCACTAGAGCTTGTGGTCGATAAGGGGGCTGAACGGTCACATCAAAATGGTTCGTCGTCTAGGGCAATATTTGCATTTTTCAAACAGTCCCTAGATAGGGACCCTGTTAATCTCTGAATAGAGATCCCGTTGGGCCATTGTGAGTGGTGGGCTTTTGTCCTGTCCAGATCTACCAAAGAGAATGAAGATCGGCACTCCATCAATCGATCACTTGTGCCAAAAATCACACCCAGAAATTAAAAATAGGAGTATCACAATTCAGAGTCGGTTTGGTACAGCTAAGGTTCGAGCGGCATTTCCTTGGAGACGATCTTCGAAGGAATCCTTCTGATAATTAGTTGCAGTGCAAAGTAAACTACTAGTTGTGATATGGGGTGACCAGAATCCATGGAAATCCCCTGCGTCTTTGCCCTTTCCTTGATCGCTTTTCTGAGGTTTGTCCCGTCCTTTGTTTTGGGCCAAGTTTCGGCCCAGCGGAAAGAATTTTATTTTAGCTCCTGGTTTTCCAAGCTCAAGGGAGAGGCTCACTCTCGAACTTGGGGTGAGGGGGGGGGGTAACTTCCTACAGCTTTTAACATAAATTCAACCCCACTTCCTCTGTTAGCAAACTAGTACATACTATCCACTTTCTCCTTTCCGTATTACTATTCCTCGCAAGAAAATATCGTCCGATAGCTAGGTGATTCCCCTTTTCCGCCTTCAGCTTTTCATTTCGATTTCCGACCTTTTTCGCGTCTCTAATGCATTTTTCCGATATCCGAAAACTCCGAGAAGTTTGGCCGATTGCGTAGATAGCCGTAGCTCCGTATCTGCTAGGGAACTCATTTAGTTCGAATAACCAGTAAGCAATGTAGCATGCGGTAATCGGGTTAGAGTCGCACAAATGTATAGCAGACTGCTAGAAGTACTTTTCAGCAAATATAAATAACTTTATAGGGTTATTCTATTTAATTCTCCAGCTAAGGGTTGGGTTCCTTCAAGCTTCCGTGAAAGTGCGTCACAGATTGAAACGGAGAGTGGCAGGCATTTCCTCCTTTTTTTCTTTGCTATTTGAAGTGAGGCGTTGTTCACCTGTTCAAAGCACATGAGTGGGTGTATCCAGTTCACATTTCAACATCTGGACCATATAGTGCTGGAAATTGCCCCAGATGCTTTTGAATAGGCTATTCTTATTAGCACCACTCGAAAAACGCTAGCTTGCCATTCCCTGGCGAATCGGAATAAAATCGCACGGAAATTCTTTCACTTAAACTCTGCTCACTCCAGTTCCCCTCACCCTTTTCTTGATAACCTTTCATTTAATAATGTCATTACTTCTGCATGGGTATACCTGACCAGTCCTTCTCTTACAGTACATCCAACAGCAACTTCGATACGAGAAGGCGCTCGAACGAGAACAAATCGAAAGGAAAGCTCGAGAAGAGGAGAATCTTCTGATAAGAGAAGAGCAGGAGAGGCTCAGACGACTCTTCGAACGAGAGCGCGCCGAGAGGGAACGTCTCGAGCAGATTCGTCGTCGAGAAGCCGAAGAGCGTGAACGTCTTCTACGCCAACATCAGCTCGACGAACAGAATCGACTAAGGCGAATCGAGGAGGAAAACCGTCTTCGACAGTTGCAGGTAGGGACTTGGTGTTGGAATTATCTTGGTGTTGTTCAGGAGACCTGTGCTGCGGCGTCGCGACATTCACGCCAAGTTCTTAACTTGTGTGGAGGCGCTATAACGTTTCCTTTCCTCTAACTAGGAATATTCTGCTTATTTCTGCGCGGCATCACAACGCGAATCTTCTGAACAACATTCCAGTGGCCAGGATAGCATGATTTCCTCTGGCTCCCTATCTCTCGCTTCCGGTTCTTACTCGCCTGTAGTCTCTGTGAAGAAAGGTTATTCGGCCCCACGAAAAAGCAGTCATTGCGAGCGGAATTTTGATTTCCTAGGTGCAGAAGTTGCTTTTCTCTTCCCTTTTTCTCACCCGCTATATGTTTTTGAATGCGCACTCTTTGAAATTTGGATGGGAGGCGGAAGGTCGTATACTGGAAACTTGTCCTCAAGACAATCTGTGCTACCTTCAATCTGCTGCGTCATGCAGCCTCCTTGAACTGTCACCAGGACGTCCTGTGTATTTTCGCAAAATCCACCCAATTTTTCCTCATCCCCACGCTGCCTGCGATCTTCCT